TTTAATCACTATGTAGTAAAATGAACATGAACTTGCAGATAATACTCCTAAATATGTCAATGTATATAGGAGAGAGAACAAATTAATTGTCACTTTTTTTAAGTTATTATTTTCAAAAATTCCTCGTACTTTTAGTTGATACTGTAAAACCGTAAACAACAAACATTCAACAAGAAAATATGATTGGTATTAAGCAATATACATTAAATATTGCTAAGATTTAACAGCTATTCAACCCTGTAACAGCCATTCAACCCCGTAACATTGAAAAATGTGATGGGGTTGAATGTGACAGGGTTGAAGATTTTGTGCTAATCTGTTGCTAATTCGGGATGCTAGCAGCTAGCATTGTGCCACATGGCCTTATTCAACAAAAGACATTGTTATACTTCATAGCTATAAAAACAATTCTTGGTAAAATCTTAACTATGAATTCCCCCCCCCCCAACAGAGTTGAATACCTGAGATTGACAAAGCCCATATGTGCTTAAAAAACATGAAATATTTATAAAAAGTGAGAGAGCAGCTTACCACTTGTCACACCAGGCTTCTCTGAAGACTTGTATGATGTCACTTCCTCATAAATGATGTCCACAGGATCAAACCATTATTTAATTGTGAGTGGGGGTATTGTTGCGTTACGGGGTTGAAAGAAATACAAGGACAGGGGTAAAAGCCTGAATTTCTCAGAAAATAAAATGTCTTATGCTGAGAAAATGGATTATGCATAATAAGGGGGCATATACAATTAATTTAACAAAAAAAAAGCATTATTATTTAACACTGTGTACTCAAAATGAGTCACGCCATTTGCATGATGGTCAATAGGGACAGGCGAAATTCTTAATACTCCTAAGAAAAGCAAACATATAAGTATTGAAATTCATCTCTGTTTAAAATCATATTCTCTACTCCATATTAAAAACATGTAAAACTTTGAAATGTTGTAATTTAAGTGTAGTTTGATAAATGTTCTGACAAGTTATAGCACTAGTACATCTTGGGACACTGACAATACTGAAATGTCACCGAATCTGTAGAATGACCCATATATTTAATCAAGCAGAGTAATTGATAAGAATTCATTTAACACAGCTCCCCTCCACTCCCACCACCCCTTTCCCTAAATTAAAATGTACTCTACGCACACTCAATAGCTCATTCTGCCATGGGAGCCATCCTTTCTCTTAATGGTTTTCTTTCTTAATGTGTGTGTGTGTGTGTGTGTGTGTGTGCGCGCTTGTGTGTGCGCTGAATTTCTCTCTATGCTGTTGTTTCTCTACACTTGCAAGCATATGTTTGTGAGTGTGTCTCTTTACTGAAAAGTTACCAATTTCCCACAAGACCACAACGGATAAACCGTGGAGGGAATAAAACCGTTTTTAGAGAGACAGAAAAAAGGCAATAGAGAGAGAGCGACTGTCCTATCCCTCTGGGCCTTCCCTCTGGCTCTCACAGTGGTGTTTGTGCCTGTGATTTGATGAACTGTGTTTTTGTTTGTCCTATTCCCTCGAATCCTCCTTAGCCCTAGCCTCATGACTTTACATTTCTGTGCACTGCTGGAAGAAAAATAGTCATTGACAGTGCATATTTTTCACCTTAACTGCAGTGTGGGCCAGGTTAGGATTGTGCTAGGTTTGTACATATTTGTACTGTATAAGTGTAACAGTGACAAATAGGTATGAGTGTGTATATCCTTACTACAAACTATTTTCCTTGAGGACAACCTGGCATATACATGGAAATGGCACAGTAGCTGCAAAAGGAGAACATATTTGATTATTTGATTATGAACTGGAACCTTTTTGTATGGGAGTTTTATTTTGTTTGTAATAAAGCTCCCCTTCCCTACCAACACTGATCCCCTCTAAACTATAGGGGGTACTGTAGAGGAACGTAAATGGAAGTTGTATGCTCTTGCTGCCCTGTTTCAGTCTGGTAAGTTGAATTGGACAGTGATCCTTTT